GCTTTTCGCGTTCAGGTCACTCGGGGATGAAAGTTTACGCGCCGCGTTCCTTGACGCCGACCTCCCGCGTTCCCTGAGCTGGTTCTTTTTTCGCACGGACGGCTCGATTTAGGGGAACGAAATCCTTCCCTCATTCGCCTTTCATGGGATTGATAAAAATAGGGATTCGTACTCTACTCCCTCGCAGGAATTAAGAAACCATGATCCGGTCGTTTCCTTCGATCGCAATTGCGGATGGAAATTGAAATTGTAATTGGATAAAAAAATCGAAATTATGCAATCTACAATTCTTTCTATTACCTAAAATTCAAGTACGACACATCCTTCATTTGTGTTTGAATTCTGTTTCACTGATTGATTAAACGAAGTCACAGTTTTTTGAGACAGTTTCGCGGTGAATGCGTCTCGACAGCGACACTTCAGCCAGCCTCCGGTGTATTTAATCGAAACGCAATTCAATTACGGCAAATTGATACGGGAACTCGTTTAAGCGTCTCGCCGCTGGCAAATTTTCACCTGAACTTTGCGACGCCGATCAACCGTGATGCTATTATACAATTTATTAAACGACGTTGCCTAGGCGAGAAGTAGATCAATTCAGAAATGAATAGACGCAACGTGCATATATTCTGTCCCTATCAGACTTCTAGCTCGGTTGTTTAAATAAATTGCCCTTTAATCGCTTTGATCAGTAAAAATTATAAATAGAGCTTTGTGCGGCCCACTGATTGCCTTCCTCTCTATAATTATCTAGCTGAAACTACTTTGCACCTATCCTTGAAGAAAAATGATTTGCACACAGAATGCGATCCTGTCTCGGATAAAATTGCGAAACTGCGGCTTTCCATGGAAAATAAAATATTCATGGTTACAATTTAGATAACCATTTCTAAAAAAATGCACTCAATTTTTCACATTCGAATGGTTTATATATATTCCATATTTCTTAACTTCTACAATATTTTTACGAACGACATTCGTAATCTAATAATTATAATAGACTTTTTTGAAAATATTATCGATAAAATATTTCTGCTTCCTTTATCAGGGTTAAACTGCTACGCGTGTCAGCAAGCGTGCCGTGCCGCTGGATACGCCTATAATTTAGATCCGAGATTCTAGGTCGCATCTATTCATCACGTGTATCTGCGTTCTCACGTCTTACTATAATTGGATGCCGCCTTGCTCTTAGCCCAAAATGATTGTTATTAATTTTTTAAAAGTAAATATTAGATGCTATTATTTTTTTTATTATAATAATGAATCTGCATGTTTTGTCATTTCGAATATCAAATTAAATTAATTTCCATACGAACGCAAAATCCTCTATTACTATAAAAAATGTATTTAATACATAAATCTGTAAACCAGCATGACCTAGTTCCTAAAAAAGGATCATCAAACCGAACTGCGTAGCGATCTGAATAAAACATGGACGGGAAATTTATTTTCGAGTGATATCCATAGATTGTGGAAGATATCAGTGGCTCGCGTTAAATCGTAGAGGAACGGATAAAAGCGCGAGGAAACATCGGCCGGTGGACGCAGTCGTTTACCGTTTTCACTGAGGGGAGAATCGAGCAAGCGATTCCAGGCCCTGGTCACGTTCGAACCGGGGAACTCGGTGTTATTTCGGGGGAACGGAGGAAAATGGACAAGGGTTAGTCTCCTGCCCGGATTAGCTTTCGAACTGGAACGAATTAATACTATATAGTACGCTCGGGGTGGAAAAATGCGTTCGGTTCGCGTATCTCTGGGAAAGCCGCGGTTCCCCGAGCGAATGCGGGTAATAGGATGGAGATCAATGAAACAAACGCTTGCGAAATGCGTGTCAGTGGAATTGTGTATAAAATATTCCGCTTGAGTTCAATTCCTCATTTTTATTCCGACGAAACTGTGAAGTTTGATAGAAAGAGAAGAAGAATTTTGTTGCATTCAGCAGAATTAATTGAAGTACTTATCCAATATAATTTAAACTTGAGAATCATCGTATGTTAAAATTTTCAAATAAGAAATTAATGAATTGTTTAAAGTATGCAAGATATAAAATAATGTGCATATAGAACATTAATTAGACACATTGTATATAGTCTTTATAATTTGGTAATTACAAATCTGTTCAAATTCTATGCGTTCATCAAGACGGTTGCATCAACTAATTTAATTCGCTCGAAAAAGAGGTTGGCCACGCGATAGCTAATCGGCAACAGAGAAAGAGAGAAAGAGAGAGAGGCCAATCTTCTTTCAAGAGACGCGCGCCACGGAGTTCCGAACAGGAAGAAAAGCTAGTCTTCAGGTATCGAGGGGTGGTTCCCGTAGTTCTCTAATAAATTCCATTAGACATGGGCTCTTGGTCTCGCGAGGGTCTCTCCGGATATTATGTTACGCGTTTTGACGTGGATTCTGAATGGGCGCGCATCCATTACCGCGGCCCGGTGCGACAACAACCGTCCTTGCCCGTTCATTCATCGGAATCCTTTTTTTCCGAGGCCACCGGGTCGCCTTCCCCCCGCCTCTCTCCTTTCGTCGTTGTGGCGTCCTCGCTGAATCCTGGGTCCCTTCCAGGAGGCGAACCTAGTAGACTCAACCAGCCGAGGATAATTCAGATTCACAGGCAACGTGCTCGTCCTCTATAGCACGAGACTCGTCCTGGATACCGGATTACCGGTAGTCTCCTTCTTCTAGCCGTGGCGACGGGCTCTTTGTCGACGTCTCCCTGTTTCGCGGCGCTTTTTCTTTCTTCCACCCTCGGGCCTTATCCTCTCTCGCCCGTTGCTCTTTTCCCTCTCGCTTTGACGACGGCTACGCCTCGCCGCGCCGATCGTCCCGGCCGAAGAAAAGGATCCAGGCCGTGTAACGACCGGCACAATGACTACTCCCGCCGATCTATTAGGAAGAATAACGACGTGCCGCCACACCGTGCCGCGGCGGTCGAGTCTTACGCATCGGCGACTCCATGAGAATCCATGCAGGAAAGTCTCTCCTTCTTTTCTCTCGCGATTCACCTTTTCAACGTAACAACGTGTCGATTGGGATTGTGGATTCAGCGAAGTGGTTATTGAGACCCTTGTTGACTCGTAGAGTTTCGATCTGATTAATGGCACCACCGTTTCTCGATTCTTATTGATTCCTCAAGATGTACGATGAATCATATCACTTAGATTATACATATATGATTCTATAGAGGAGTAGTTAAATATTATTTAACAGAGGATTAGCTGGTCTTCTCTGCAGATCTTGTTTTTTTTCATCTAGTTTCTTGTCTCCATTCTTTGCTGGAGCACCCAGCTCTTTATGTCGCTTCCTGTTGCGTGGCAGTCGATCGAATATCAGAGAGGACGTTCTACGGAGGCGTAAAAAAGACCTCGAAGGATCCAGTTCATTGGCTAATAGTGAACGCAAAAAGAACACGGCTCGAGTTTCTCGGGACGGTCACCCTATCCTGCAGGGAACCAGCTCCGTTCTGTCAGACATTCTAGATTGTGCTGGATACAATGAAAGGTAGAGGGTGCCCCCGATTACGAACGGACTCAACGTTAACTTCGAGGAAATCGAAAAAAAATAGGACGCAACCCTTCCTTCGTCTCACGTGATCCAAGGCGTTCATTCAGAATCAAACTGTCGAGGCTAGCTGTTATTCGATAGTCATTCGTTGTGCAAGCGCATGTCTGTAGTTACGTGGCGACAATTCGATATGCACAGTTTCGCAATTTTTCCAAGTTAATCTGACGCGGAAAAATCGGTAATGTCCTTACAAATACAAAATATATAATACAATACAATTTACTGTGGTCGGTACACGTTTGTGTACGGTTTTATAAATTGTTGAAGCGTTGTTGAACTTTATTAAAATGCACTACGTTTCGGTGGAAATAAATAAACGTTAAAGCCGTTCTCGATGGAGAAAGAAACATGCCGATATTTTTCGAAATCAATATCAACCAGTCCCATTCGCGTTCGCCGAAAGAGCATCAATTTGGTATATTGCTTCCTCGAAAGCGCCCGCTCTGTATAAATTGTTACAGAAATCCGACAAAGACTCGCGATGCAACGGCTCGTACAGCGGACAAAAAAAAGCTAATACATCTTCCGCTATGGACGCGATTTTTCCCCAAAAAACGAGGGGAAGAGGAAAAAAGAACCGGGTGACATTGTTACAACAGCCAGTCGGGGTGGGCAGGAGGTTGGGGAGGGGGTGGTGGTTCACGTCGCGCGACAAAGCTCCGGGCCTCGCCTTCGAAAAAAATTTTCATTTTCGCACCGTTGCCGGAGAATCCCGCGATTCTGGGTCACAACCCTCCCCCTCGCAACCGCCACCCTCTCTCCACCCCTTTCGCGCCGTGTAATCCCCGTACGTATGTAGGCACCCGGGCCTGTGTGAAACGTGCCTAATCGCGAGATCGGCTCAACCCTTTCGCCTCGATGAAAACTCGCCTGGCCACCTGCCCAGGATTACGCGTTAGCCATTGTTCGCCGTCGAACATCTCTGGAGGACTCCGCGACTCGGGTTTTGTAATCTGAACCGCAAGCTCATTTTTATACTACATTTTATTCACCCATCTCTAATGACATATAAAATGGTTCTGCTAATTTATAAATTAAGAGATTACATGATCTGACTTCATGTGCTTCGTTATATAAAATATGTGGTAACACATGATTAAATAATTGTTTGTCAGATACCGGAAAGTACATATAACTGAATAAATCTGCTAGGAATTATTACATTTACTGTTATGAGTATAAATTATTCCTTTCTGTTTTATTATTTAAGTAAACATGTATAATCCTGTATAATTATTTGTATCAATATCATCTCGTTCAATTTTTCATTCTTGTATATGGTTCAAAAATGAATAAGATATGGAAGTTTCATGATGACACATCACGAACTGAATTATTTATATTTATAAAATTTAATTATCTCGTCTGTCATATATTGGTCCAAAATCTGAAACAGAATTATCGTTAGTTAACTAGTATCCTTTGAATTGTTGCAGGGTGTTTGTTGGACAATTCGGCGCCGAGGGGCCCGCCCGATGTGCCACCCCGTAACCCTACAATGAGTCGCGTAAACGGAAGACTGCCAGGAAGTCACGCAGCCAGCGATTACGAGCGTGATCCAGACCTTCAGCCGTCCTGTCTCGTACGCACCTCATCCGGCAGCTTATACAGTAGACCAAGTGAGTACTCGTTCTCGTCAGGGGGTTGTTGTCTGATTTACGGGGCGGAAATCGGGTCACGGCGAAGACGTGGGAAAGGGAGGATCAAATGACTGGCCGCTTCGTTCGATCGGCTCGATAATGTTTAAGCTAGTTAACCCCATCGACGCTGCCCTATTTTCCTACTCGCGCTCGTTCATTGAATTTTCATTTGAAACGAGATATTTGGTTAAATACACTTCTGATTAGATAGTCATTAAGTAATTGTATTTTCGATCTTATCAGAAAAATACTTGAGCCGTTTATCTAATGCAAAGCTTAGGATCACGTATAGAAAATCTTATCTCTTGCTCGGTCGTCGGGTATTTGTTTCTCAAACACTTTTAACCGATACTTGAGAAAATCTTTGGTAGGGAAATCCTGAAAGACGTCGATTTATTGATTATTTACCGGGAAAACGCTGTTCGAAGGCAAACAGTCTCGTATACCGCGTGGGAGGAATGGATAAACGGTGACTTTCGACTCTTGAACGAAAGTGAAAGCGACGGCGAAAGGAAAAACGATTCCTAGAAGGAAAGCGTGGAGGTGTGTCCAGCCGATAAGGCGGACAGTGTTTCATCGGGGATAATAAGGAGGCTTAGGAGGGAGGGCAATGTTGACTGACACGTATCTGACGAGGGTTGTACACGCTGTAATCGGCGGCAACCGATGACCGAAGCGGGTGCGATAATTTTCTGAGCTATCTTATCGGCCAGCCAGGACGCTGAAAAATTTCACGCTAATCCCTCCCGTTTTGTCAGCGATTTTCCAAGGATTGTCAGTCATTTATCTTGAGTCATCTGGTTCCTCTGTTTCCCAAAAATCTTATCTTCGTAATCTATAATGAGATTCAGGGAAACTTTCAAGAGCTCATCTGCTGTGAACGCGAGCCTGGAACTGCATTCTTTGAAATTATAAGATCTGCCTGTCCATACTTCGTACGTTTTCCTATCGAGTAGCGAACAATTTCCCACTCGTGTTTTCCTCTCGATAACCAGGCATCGAACGCAAAAGCTGCTAACCGAAAAACGACCCTAAGGGAACGTTGTCGCCGGCACTCGAATTTACCAGGGACGATATAACCCGTAAAATGGCTCGGCTGGATGAGCCTGACAGTGGATGCACTCGAGAGAGAGAGTGAGTGAGAGAGAGAGAGAGAGAGAGAGAGAGAGAGTAAGAAGAAAAGCACACGGCAGGCATTTCGAGTCGCTTTACCAGGGAGCACGCCGGGTGCAGGGAAAACAACAGGCGAAACCCAAGCTTCTTGACGTTTCGAGAGCTGCGCGGTGGCTGGAAAAACGAGCGGGACAAGTACCTCGAAGACGGTCCCGTGGACGAGTTCCTTTCTTGTTCGATTTCTTGTTCATAGAAGGACTCGACAATTTTCCACGGTTGGTTCACGAGCTCAGGCGCCGTCTCTAGCTGCGTCCACATAGACCATGCGCTCGCCCTTGCTTACCTCAAAGCCATCTCAAGAACCGTCGAACCCGGTGATTTATGAACTCTCGGCTACTCATTGACCGTCGGTTATGACACTGGCTGACGCTTATGACCTTCCACAGAATACTTTAGACTCGGTCCTTCCACCTTTTTTCGTTCGGTCATCCGCACCCCATGCTTCTTCCATGCTTTTGTCAACGCTCGCCTCTACTGTCGATACACTTTCATGAATCGTGCGAGGGAGTCAAATTCTATAGCCGTTCGTCTCTTCCCATGTCCCGGGTTCATCGTTTGAAACACGTACACGTGTATCGTGGTCCGTAGATTTTCTCCTCGAAGGACAATTTTATTTTTATTATAATCTAATTGTGTGAATAATCGACACGTTTTACTTTATACTTCAATTTTTCACAGTTATGATCATAATTCTATTTAGATTACTTATTTATCATTTTAATATTGAAACATGAAACAGTGTTTCTTAATCAGAATAAAACTACACGCAAAAGGAAATCGCTAATTTCGCTTGAATCGACAATAATGGGAGTCGGCATGTACGCGTTACAAGCAATTTAACCTGGCCAGTGTTCTTGAAAATGAACACGTCGCGTCGGCCGTTCGAAACCGCAGGATCGTTCGGTGATTTTTAATGGAAACAGGTAGAGAATCGATCTCTGGAACCCTTTGTCTCACCGTGACGAGAGAATTCGCTGTTTCACCCTTCGGCCTGCACGAAACCGGAGCGTGGGAAGACGAAGGTCCGGCAAAAGCGGACCCCATGCCCGCTAATTGCAGGTGTTGCCGGTCGCTCGGCCCCGAAATCCGATGATTATGGCATTTAGGCAGATATCCGTGATTATGGTCCCTCACGGCCGTGTTCGCTCCGCTCCTCTTTCTTTCTTTCACGCTTGTCGTTAGCCTAACGCGAGGATCTTCGGTGAAATAAATCTTAATGTAAAAGGGAATGGCACGTGATATCTCGTTAGGTAATTAAATTTATTGGTAATTGAATATTCGCGTAGAGTACATATGATTTTGATAAATACGAGTTAAACATGTTTATCGGTTTGCATGAGCGCACAGAGATTTAAAT